TAAATTAGAGGGTTTGGAGAGTTTTTTTAGCACGTTGAACTGGGGTGTCACGGCTATATGTCAGTTAACCATGTAATTTGATCAGCGGATTGCGAGTTACAAATGTATAATTTGTTTAAGTATAATGGAGAGAGCCAAGCCAAGGCTTTTAAGATAGAAATGTATTTAGTAATATTGAACCAAAAGCTATAAACTTGAAAATTATATATCTATATACTCACATGCTGCGAGCCAAAAAACCGCCAAAGCTCTAATAATTTATAAAGACAAAAGGTGAACAGTGAAACTTAATTCAAGCACTTCGACAAAAGAAAAAAAAAGGCTTCATACAGATCAATAGCAAATCCAGTTTTATTAATTCCATTATCTTTATTATTTTTATGTTCTTTATATTTGCATAGAGATTTTAATCCGTAAAGAGCCAAAGCTACAAATTTTATTACAGTAATTCGTTATTTTTTTTAAAAAAATAGCATTATACTCCATGATGATATATCTTAGTAAGAATCAACAAGAGTATAAATTATATACCTAATGCTGCTGAGGTGATCAAGCAAACAAACTCATAAAACCCCCGATATGAGAATGCATGGTGTGTTCTGAAAAAATTTAAAAGTGAATTAATACACTATATTAAAACTCGATACTATACATGCGTAGAAACTATTTCGGCATTAATTCTTAATATAAACCGCCAAAATATTCGGCGGTTTCATATTAAGAGTCAATGTTGAAATAGTTTCTACGGCTTGTATACATTATCACGTTTAAAAGGACACACGTACGTACGTTAAATAATAAAACGCTGATCCTCCATAAGTAGAGCTGGAATCTATCACATCTGTTAAGAATGAATTAGAAATAAAATAAAAACGATAAAAACGATAAGAATTTTCAAAAAAAATAAAAAAAAAGCAAACGCGTGTACCTAATATAATAATTGGAAGTAATAAAAAAATTTGAAAAATTTTCAAATTTAATAATAGTAGTTTGCTCATTTTGTTATAGATTGTTGATGACACTGAAAAAAAGTTAAAAACAAACTGCTTACAATGATTAATAATTATTGATCTTTATATATCTATTATATTTTATACATTTGGCAAATTGAATGATTAATGCAAAAAATCTTCATTATATATATTACCTTTTTGGGCGGTGATGAATGTCATTTCTGGAAAAAAAAAAAAAAATTTTTTTTTATGTATAAAAAAAAATATAGTTAGAATAACATTTTTACGAATGAGAATTGCATTTACGTTTATAAACAAAGTCAAATTTACAAGCTTTAAGGATTTAATACAATAAGCAATTTACTCAGGAGAATAATAAGATTATGTAGATATGTACGTACATACTTTCGTACGTATTTTAACATACTTATGCAATATATTTTTTTTAGAAGGCAGAATAAAACAAGTGATTATGATAATCTGCAATCTTGTAATAACAGGTTTTTGTGTGATAAACATAAAAATATTTATATACTGGTATAAATAGCGATAAAAATCGGCATGTTACAAATAATTTCAATTTTTAGAAAAACCATAGTTGGGTATTGGCGGTTTTAAAAGGAAGGTGAAACGAAAAAAAGTTAATTTGAAATGATCTCTTTTCGAATTAGTCCGACCGTTAATTTTGTGAATCATGGAATCCTATGAATCCGGTATGTAACCATTGTCTTTACATGCGGAATTCGCCAGATTCATAGGATTCACAAAATTCAACGGTTGGCTAATTCGAAAATAATGCGTGGTCAACGCCTAAAATTTCAATTTATCCAGAAATCAATTATACAATATAGCATTTTAATAATTAAGCTTTCTTATTATTATCTTTACTATCTTTACTGTTGTATTTTATGCTCACTAATACATGAATTGCTTCATATGTAGCTTATTAAGTCCGACCAGCAGAATTGAACGTGAAGTTTATCGTTAGCATATCGACATTTTCTTATTGCCGTTACTAGTTAAATCTGATGATATTTCAGAGCCATATATATGCATAAATGAAAAAGCTTGCCATTTCAGGTAATAACTAAATGCTGTGAGTCGAATTTTTGAGCATTTTTACCTTTTATTATCCGACAAACTCATATATTATTAATTGTGGCAGATTAAAATGAAATCGGATTAAAATGAAATTTTTCTATTTTTTTAGGAAAATTTAAATTTTTTTGGGG